GCGATATGGCTGGGTTCTTTCGCGATGGGCTTGTGCTCGGTAATACAAGCCTCGGCTTCCTGAATTTTTCGAAGCCGGTCGGCTTCGCGGTGCTCCTCTTCCTTCTTCTTGGCCTGGGCAAGCAAATTAGCACGAGGCAACCAAAAACAGAAAAAAACAGGGCGGCAAGAGAGGCGCCGTTTTTTCTGCTTTCACAACTGATGGGCAGCCTCAGCTTCCATCGTCGAAACCTGGTCAAGCATGCGACCGGACTCTAACGTAGGCCTCGGCCTCATGACGTTTGCGAACACATTCGGCATTGTCCTCGATCCGTCTTCTTGAAGGCTCAATGTGAGGAAACCCACTTTAAAATCAGCGAACCGACTGTAACACTGGCCTCCGCTTCCCTTAGCTCTGGAAGCTGTTGGGCAGCATTCTTCTCGCCAGCGGCCTGCTTCCTCAATTCCTGGTCAAGCAACAAATAAAGGAGGAAACCCGTTGACACCATCCGGACCGTAGCGCACACCTGGGCGTGTATCATTTCTCGAAGCCGCTCGGCATAATGCTCCTCGCACTTTCTCAAGAAAGCCGCCTGGTCAGCAAGGGGCAGGATACCGATCAACAGCAACGAATCGGTAGAAGACAGGCCCCGGCCTCCTTTCGTTTCACATCGGCTTCGTCCTCCTCGTTCTTCCTGAATGCCTGGTGAAGCCAGACATTGAAGTCCAAAAGAGGAGAACCGGACGATCTGTTTCCGCACCTGATCGGCAGCTTGAGCTTGCAGCTTTTTCGAAGCCTGGTCGAGTCAGGATCCAGGAAGGAGCAACGAAAGGGTAAGACAGGCCAGGACTTCCTCCAGCTTTCGAAGCATTTCGGTTTCTTCATCCTTCTTCCTGGAGGCCTCGTCACATGAGGTTGAGAAAACACAACAAGGAAAAACCGGACGGCAACAGGGCCTTGTCTTCCAGCTGATTCCTGATCTTCTCGGCAAAATCAGCTTCCATTTTCTTCAAAGCCTGGTCGAGCAAGGGAGACGAACCGCGGGCAAGGAACTTGTGAGGGTGGCCGGTTTGTCGAGACCAGTAGTAGTAGTAGTAGTAGTAGTAGTAGTAGTAGGGTTTTCTAACAACAAACCAAATAGTCCTGGAAACCAGGACCCTTTCATAACGAAACAGACAGAAGTTTGCATAACAAATTCCTGGTTGCCAGGAAACATCTGCGCAGTAGTGTAGTAGTAGTAGTAGTAGTAGTAGTATAGTTTTAGTATAGTAGTAGTATAGTAGTAGTATAGTAGTAGTAGTAGTAGTAGTAGTAGTAGTAGTTGTTGTTGTTGTTGTGCTTGTAGTAGTATAGTACTAGTAGATTCCCTGGATTCCACGGACCAGACGGTTATTCGTTACTAGATCTATTACTATAGATAACATATATGGCCTTCGCGCCATCAGCGGCACGGCTGGCGGTCGCAGCGAAGGCCTCGCCGGCCTTGCGTTTGTTGTTGGAGTCGACATCATCCGGAGCATCGAGCTCGTCGATCATCGACTCCAGCTGCGTTTCCAGATCATCTTGGTCCACCCTGGCGGTGCAGGATCCCTCGAATTATGCATGTGGGCAGGCATGGCGTAACGACGAGAGCAGGAAAACAAACGAGTCCCCGACGGCGGTGCCATGCAGCTCAGCTGGCTTCCGGAGCCGACCGACAGGCCGTGAAGAGCCTTATCAAGGAGCTCGTCCTTGATCTTCAGGGCGTCTTTGGCATTCGACATGCCGAAAAAACTCACAACTTGAGGCGTTAAGGCCACAAGATCTGAGCCACAGTGATGCCACGAGATTGTATAAACCGTGATGTGTTGGATGTGCTGCATGTTCGCCCGACATGCAACAGCAGAAACGACAGCCACCGTATTGCAATAACTGTTTTCTGCGAGCAATCGGCAGCATCCAGGATCGAGGAGTCTGTGCATGTTGGGGTGTCCAAAATCAGGTAACGGGGGTAACGGGTGGGTAACGGGT